CTCCCGGAGGTGGAGAGCACCCCAGGGGCTGCCAGGGGTGTTTGTTGGTGCTGGGTGCCCCAGTGCCTTTGGTGTCTGAGCACAGCTGGGCTGTTGGGTGCCTCTTCAGTGCTGCTGCATCTGAATCCTGCAGCTCTCGGCTGTCGTCAGGGATAACTGGGGTAGACAGGAGCCCCTCGTGTCTATTCTTCATATTAGAGAAGTGTAATGAGAAAAATGTGCTTGCAGGCCCTTGTGAGGGGACAGCAGGGGACAGTCACTGCTCCCTTCTGTGGCGGGTACTGTGTGACAGCGGCACCCTGCCAGCCCCTGTGCTCTCCCAGCCCGCTGCCATCCTGTGGCTCACCCGAGGAATAACAGCATCCTGCTCACAGGGATCAGCCGGGCAAACTGGGTTTGTGCAGGCTGATATTCTACATTATTTCTTGTGATTCATTTGTGCTGGATTTAAGGGACGCGGTTCTGCTTTGGCTTGTATTGGCTTTGGAGCCTGGCCTTTTTTCAGTAGTTTTCTTTCTCCCACCACTAAAGAGCTACTTTATCAAACTATCTTGTAAAGCAAAATATTAAGGCAAAGGCATTAATATTTGATGCCAAACAAAACTGAAAAGAGTGGAATATTCCAAATAAATAAGACACATGGAAGGGTTATAATGTCAGATAGCCTGCAATCCAACGCACAGGCTTTTTCTGTGATGCATTGCTGCATATATGAAATGTCTCAGTTACTTAGATAATTGATTCAATTCCTAATCTTTGGTTTAAAAAGCTGTTTGTGGTGCCTTTAGACAAAGACAAAAAGCAATAGCATTTGAATGATCTTCCCAAAGTTTCTGAAGACAAGGGCAGTTTCAAATGAGGTTAATGCAGTAATCAGGGGTTGTCTTTGTTACATAGGAGAATAAATTGAGGGATCAAGCTCGAGCTGTTCAGAACGGCTTGGAACTGGCAACAGCATTTAGCAGCTTATGTCCCAGTGAAATCAATGGGACTCAGACCTTTGAATGCCTTTGTAAATTGGAGTGTGAATGTCTTTTACTGTAAGGTGATGAGCATGGTGGTTCTTAATGGATTTGAATGGGCTCATCCACATCTTTAAATTGAGTGATAGATTAGTAGTGGAGCTGGACTCAGAATCGAGGAGTTCCTCAGTCCTGAGCTCAGTGTCATGAGTCAAATTTTTCCGTCCTTGTGTAGTTTGCCTCTTGAGTACTTGCAGGGACTTTGGTGGAAGCTAGCTTGTTGAGTGCAACCTGTAATGTATGTAAGGTGGTAGGTGCTGGCCTTTAGCTGGTCACTGTGTGCATGAGGCACCCAGTGACTGAACCAGCAAGGTAGGAAACCTGGTAAGACACCTATTCATTGGTGTGACTGACGATTGATGTCCTTAGAAGTGCTGGTGTGGTGTATTGTCATATGCTGGCCCAGCACAGTCACAGATCAAGTCACTGATCAAGTATATCATGGGCTGTTGTTCCAGGTTGCCTTTGAGAGAGAGCAGCAGGTGAATGCTCTTGTGTTCTTGCATGATTCCTGTGTTATTCCTGATAGTTCCCTACAAAGAATTGATCCTATGAAAATCAACTATGGGCATGGTCATGGGGAAGAGATCACAAAAGGGAATATATGACACAGGGAATGGTACCAGTGTGTTTCAAACTGGATAGATGGGATGTGGAATGATAAAGGAAGACATTTCTGCAGCTGCTTTCAGGCCAAGGTTTAGGAGTTTAGCATGGTGGATACTGTGTGAGAACAAGTAGGGATGCTCAATGATGTGAAGATTTTTGAAGCATTACTTAGTGCAGGTTCCTTAAATTTAAAGTCATGAGTCACATCCTCAGAATATTTTGGGATTGTTTCCAATGTGCACAAAGTGGAAACCATTGCATTGTATTTTGCTTTTTGAACTCAACTCCAGCCTGCCATGTGACGGCCCAAACTCCATGGCTGGTCATCATTTGCTGTGTGACATCTGACCAGAGAAGTCAGTAATATTTTAGGCCTTATCTGCATGAAAGGTCTACAACACCCGCTCTTTCCTCCTGCTCTTTATCCTCTTCTTCTCTTACCACTTGTCTAATTTTAAATCTTTTTTCAGTTCCTCCAGTGCAGGTTGCAGTTTGCAGGGGAGGCTTGCAGCAGTGTAGCTAGAGGGTGGTGGCTGGCCCCATGTAGACCAGCCTGGATGGCTGGAGCTTCTGGTCAGGTAATTTCCTGGGAGCAGAGCTACTGGGAACTGCCCATTACAACTGTGGGACAGTGTGAAATAAGGAAGGTTGTGTCAAAAGGTGTCTTTTCTGGAGAAGGCTCATGACTTGCATAATTTCTGTAACCTTCCACATTCCTGTTTGTTACTCTTCCCACAGTTATTCCCTGTGTCGTATCTCAGTGGAGTGTCTGGAGCGGCTGCGCAGAGCCTTGCCAGACAACGTATCGCCTTCGGAGGAGGCACGTCATCCAGGAGCCCAGGAATGGAGGAGAGGGATGCCCTCCTCTGGAGGAGAGGGCTGGCTGTGTGGAGTACTGGACTGAGCAAGGAACAGAGTGCAAACAGTCCCTGAGTAAGTCCACTGAAAATGTAAGTGTCTGGGTAATTGAGGGGAGGACTCTTGTTTGGGTCAGCAGAGCTGATCTTTCTTTACTGTATTTGAAAGGAGCTGTTTTCAGTCACCAGTGTGTTTGCTCTGGGCCTGAGAGCTGAGCTCTTCACACAGGGCCTTAGAGATACCCTTCCCAGGACAGTATTTAGAAGTAGTGCCTGCCATTCGCTGTGATCTGCTGTGTTTCAGAAGTGAAATGTTACAGGTCTGTTGTGATCTCACTTATACCAGTGTAAATCTCTGACAATTTTGATAGAGTTGATAGATTTATACCTGTTTAAAACTTCTGTAAGTGGGTGTTGAGTACTTTTTTTTCCTTTTTATATTTTTTTGAACTTCATGAGTCATGTGCAATGTAATGAAGGAGCAGTACCCATGGAAGCCAAGGTATGCCTCCTCTGTGCTGGAGCAGAATGCAGGCAGAGGAGACCTCCAACTAGTTTCTGGAGAAAAAGCCTGATTTCAGTTTGTTCACATCAGCTTTTCATGACATACCTTTACTGACTTTTAGAAGAGCTGCTTGTCATTTTTGCTGGTATTTTGGGGTCGAAATCTGTGCAGTCTTCAAACCCATTGAGAGTTGATATTAAGTGAATATTGTCCCCCAGCCCTGTCTTTTGGGTGTGCCTGGTAAGTGGACTTTGCTCAGGCAAAAATCGGGCAACAATACAGATTCTCTTTTCAGTGAAATGGTTGATGGTCGTGGATAATATGAAAATACAAAGTTAGAATTGGTTTTGTCTCTTGCTGAAGATAAAACTGTATGACATTAAAAGCCCATCTTTAGTTTTGCAGACGTAAACAGCCTTAGTGCAGTATTGTCACTTATGCTGTGTGCTCTTTCTCTTTGATATACACAGTCCCAGCATTAATAACAACAGGAGGGTTTGGAAAAGCGAGGAAAAAAAGAGCTGCTTCTGATGGCAATGAAAGAGCAGGGTAAGTCTGAAGCTCAGCACAGGGGCTCAGTCATACTCCACCTCTCCCCATAGTACATGTAAGTATTTCAATAGCGCATGGGTGCATCCACCCCCCTCACCTAAGTGTCTGAAGGAAAGAGTATCTGTTCACCCTGAGCTTCCCTTGGACACCTTGTTAGTTGAGTCCTCTCCCTGTAAAATTAAAAAATGTGAGCACAGCTCTATTGCACGTGTATTTATCCTTCCTCTCCCTCAGATAAGACAAGGAAGCAAACTGCTCACGTGGTTCACTGTGCTCCTTGAAGGTGTTTGGAAATCCCCAAAATGGGTATGACTGATAAAGAACCAGTCTAGACTAGAACCCAGTTCTCTGCTGTGTTTATAGGCAATTACTGAACTTCCTTGGTTTTCCCCTCCTAACAAGGCCAGTTCTTTTGGGCTTTCCTCTCATGTTTGATTAAAATCAGAAGCACAGAAGAGTCTGAGCAGGACAGAAGTGCTGTGTCAATCTGGTAGCCCTCCCATTGAGAGATGACAACCTCACTCTGTCTCTTAGGATGGAGATCATCACAAGGAAAACCTTTTACAGACCTCACAGAATCTTAGCTCCTGTCACAAGATACTCTACAAAACCTGATATAAGTAACTGAGAGTAGGTGATAAAGTGGGGTTTATAGTTGACCGATCTGTGTCTCTATTTGGAAAACCAGATGCCACTAATACCTGATATTTTTTTGATATGCCAGTTGAAAACACCAACAGAGTAGTTTTATTCCCCACTTAACCTTATCAAAATGCAGGTACACCACATGTTCTGGGTTTTATGACCTTGGGTGTGGGATTTTGTTTGTTTGTTTTGTTTTTTTGTTTTTCATAATTAGTGATCTGTGCTTGCCCAGTTTAGTCTGGCTTTTCCAGTCCCATGGAAGGCTGTAATCTGGTTAATGAACTGACCTACTTGGTCATTTTGGTTGCAGGTACTGTGTTGAGTTCCAGCTTGTGGCCATCACACCGGGCTGCTCGCACAGCCACCACTCGTACACTCACTGGATGCAGTATCTCAGGGAAGGCCACACCGTCTGCGTGGAGTGTCAGCACCCAGCTTTAGACTCCAGCAGCCTCCATTGTTATGGGGATGGCAGTGGAAGCAAAAAGTAAGAGTCTTAGCTTTTGTTTCCGTGTTGAATTTTTCATTCTCTCCCTTGTTCTATTTGTCCCAATTTCATAATGTGCTGCACACAGCTCTCCAGAGCACTCTATATATATTAACTGGTCTTTGCTGCGTGCCATGAGTTTCTTGCAGAGTTGAAATGACCTGGTGAAGCTCACATATGAAACCAGTGGCAGAGCCAGGACTGAAGTGTGGGAGTACCTGCACTTAGTCTGCTAAATCTCACTGACTTTTAAGTGGCACAGTTGTAAAGGTTTTTTTGTTTTAAAGACACTCCAGCCATGCTTCTAAGGTTAACAGTCCTGTCAGATGTCGAATAAAACCAAATCTGTTTCTGATTTTTAAGCACTAGGGATTTTATTTCCACAAGTGACCCTTTATGAGTATTTCTGGCGAGTGGCAGCTACCTTAAGGATTTGGAGTATGTGCTGGCACCTGAGGTTGGTTGGAAGTCCTGTTAAATCTTTACACTTTCAGCATCCTCTCCCTGGAAAGCTGAAGAAGCATTGGGGTGATTGATGGGGACTGCCCAGGTTGTACAGATTGGGCAGACTTCAGCAAAGATGAAGGGAATGGCTTGAAGCTGCGAAACACATTTGTGGCAGAGGCAGCAACAGAGGAGTCCTGGCTCCCAAGCCTCTGCTGTGGTCACTGGAGGCACAACTTCTGCACTGCTTTTATCCTGATACTCTTAAATCTGTTGTTAGTTAATTAAAAGCGTCCTCTGAAACTGGCTAGCAGCCCTGCCTGAGAAAGTCATTGCCCATCAGTGCTGGGCAGGAGTATTTTAAAAACTTACATAAAAATTGAAATAAGCATGTTCATTTCAATTAGAAACTCTAAACTATGACTGTCAGGCCTCAAGCACACCATGTATTGCACTACCAAGACTGCAAATAATGGCCTTTTTAGGGAGGGTCTTTCTCAGGCTTTTAGTAAGAGGAAGTCACATTAGAGTGTTTTCCTTCCCTGCCTCAGCTTGTTATGTACAAAGGTTCCAAAAGCTTTTAGATAAAGAAGAAAAAAATCTTAGCTGGTGTGGCCAGGAGTAGCTCTGACCTACATTCAACATGTAAATGATTATAAAAGCTTACAATAATGTTATTTTACTAAAACCCTGGAGCCAGACAGGAACATCAGATTAAGCAAAATAAAAAATATATTCAGGAATTCATTTCCTCATTGGGCTGCAAAAAGAGGGGGGGGCATTTTCATTTGCCTGATCTGGTGAACAGCACTGTACATGAAATGGAAGCACAAAGAAAATTGGACCGTGTCCTTCAGAAGTGGTGATCTGATCATCAGGCTGAAGGCTGGAGAGGGGTAGTGATAACAGAGTTGGGCTGAATGGTGACTGGTTCACTGAAGTCAGAACTCAACCCATGTCTCTGCACATGATTTAAATCCATCCTAATTGAGCAGAGCCTAGAAATTGTTTCCAGAGCCTTGCTGGAGGTCTGTAAAATGAACTGGTGGGTCCATTTCATTATAAGTATGTGAGAGCCACCAGGGAAGCCAACTTTTAACACAGTGAGCTTTTACCCCTCCAGCGTTACTGCCTGTAATGTCAGATGAAGTCATGTCTGTGGCATTTTCTAGGCAGGTATGAGCTCTCTGTGTGTGTGCCAAGCTGAGGCGCTGTGTGTGCTCACTTGGGTTCATTGCCAGGGTGGTAGCATAAGCTTGGAGGACAGGCAGGGCTGGCCCGAGCAGTGGGCAAAGGTCCTGTCTGCAAAAGGTGATGGAGATGCACTTTAAGCCTCCTCGAACCAGCAGTGCTGGGCAGCTGTGTCAGAGATGGGTGTGTGTCTGGCAGGTGGAACGTGAATGATGTCTCTGGTCTGCAGCTTCCTCATCCTCTGTGTGTGTGTGAAGCCTTCCTTACATTTCACAGGGATCTTTTAGATAATTCCCACATATCCCTTAGATAGCTAGCATCTGGGATGTGGTCTGGTGTTCTTTATCACTATTTGCCGTTATAGCGGTGGGTCAAGGAGATTGCTGTCCGGGGCTGGGTATCTTGCTTTATTTTCTTGGTACCAACATCTCAAGTGCAAGTACTTCCTGTAGGTATTCTTTATATGAAGAGAGATATCCCCTCATTTGTTTTCAGAAAGAATATACTTTTTTTTACCAGGTTGCATGAAGGAAAAAAGTGACCTCTGTGATCTCTGAGAAGAAATTGGACTGTTGGTTGGGAAAGCCATTGAGTGGGATGAGGGAAGTGTCTGTGAAAAGGCTTCTGCCTTCTGTTAGAGTAAGCGGCCATATCTGAGCCTGCAGTCTTGGAAGGGAGCAGCGCTCTGAGGGGGTCGCATGGTGAGCTCTCAGGCTGGGATTCACTGGTGGAGGGCGTAAATATGATGCTTGTAAAGAAAGGTGGAAGAAGATGGGAAAGTAGCTGCTGCCCTGAGAAAGAGGACGGTGAGAGGCCAAAGCTGATGCCAGAGCCTAGGATGCAGCATGAGTTTGCCTAGATCTGCTGCCAAGTCTCAGGCTGTATTCTCAGTTCACCCTAATTTTGTGTTTTTTGCAGGTGTAACTCTGCCTGGAGATATGGACAGTTTGAGGTAACCTCAGAGCAGTGAGGCTATGCTGGCTGACCTGTGCCACCACATGCTGGCCCAGGTCTCTGGGGCAGCTGGCTGAGGCTGTGCAGGGAGGCAGGCACAGCTGCTGCTGTCCCACCCACGCCATGCCTGCGCTTTGCTTCTCACCCTGTCAGTTCGGCAGCTTGTGCCAGCGTTTAGTTCCCTGAGATATTGTTCCAAGAGTGACTCTCAGGAAGGAAAACATCTGACAGAGTCTAAAATAAACTCAGCAATGCTGGTATATTTTGATGAGTATTTCCTAATTATCTTCTTGTGTCTAAGTGGAGTCTGGCTTAGAAATGCTTCAAGTTAGAGAGAGACGCTTGTTACCTGTGCCTTCCACCTGTCTCCTGCTCTGTAGAAGATAATAGTTCATTTTAACCCCTGTTATGCAAGCTCAGTGGGTTTCCCAGAGTCCTTGATTTAAGGACAGATCTGTGGCTATCAGGTGAGGATAGCTAGGATAACCCAGCTTGCATTGGCTTCTTTCTTCTAGAAGGTTATGAGATAAACAAGGCAGAGCATCGAGCTGGGAAATTGATCTGTTAATTTTGGATCATCTTCTGAAAGATCTACAAATAAAGCACGGTCTTGACATCTGTGAAATTGTTACTCAGCCTGTGTCTAGGAGGATCAGCTGCTCTTCATCATCTGGAGCAAGATGTGGCAATTGTAGCACATGAATGTCCAGATTGCAGCAGTTCATGCCCATGCTCATAGGGCACAGGGAGAGAGAGGATGGGTGGACTTGATTTATAGCCAGTATTTATAGCCAATATTTATTTAAGGCAGTATTTGCCTTCCCCACCAGCAAGATGAGAGTAAGCAAGCTTAGCTTTTGTGTTTAACGAGTAAAGCCTTTTAAAGGTAAAGCTGCTGCCCAGAGTTTGAAGGGTGAGAGACTGCTCTGTGTGCAGCCTGCTTTATCTGGGATCTTAATAACCTCCCTGTGCAGATTCTGGTATTTTGAAATGACCCTAAGCCAAATGAAAAAATACAGTGAGCATTTCCAACCATGTGTGGTGCATAAAACCCTATTTGGGAGCATGACATCTCATTAAGCCAAGGGCAGGGTTACCTTTGTGGAGCTAGATAATAATTGCAGTGTGCACAGAACTATAAAACAAGCAGAAGTTAGGGGTCTGTTGGGCTATTCTGTGGGCAGCTCTCTGCACAGGGCAAAACTTCATCCAGTTGTGGTATTTGTGCTCCTCCAAAGGTCAGGGCTGGGACACACTGATGTGAGGAATTGCCTTAAACCACTAAATGCTAAAATCTGGGAGGTGGCACAGTGCTGTAGCAAAATGTCTGTTTTGGTGGCCGTTAGGCCGGCATTGCTTGTGCAGCCACCGCTTGTGGAAATGGCCTGTGGATCTGCCTGGTTGTTTTCATAGGATATTTCTCTGCTCAGTTCTGGTGAATGTACTGAGGGACTGCCTGGGAGAAAAGGGGTTTGTTGGTTGTTTTTTTGTCCTCTACTTAAAAGGCCTGTGAGTAACCTTGTTCTAACACTTGTGGATCTGGTACCTCCAGCCAGCTGCCATCCAGAAGCCATGTTAGTATGTCACTCTTAGCAAGGTGGGCAAGCTTAGGCAGGTGTCCCACTAACGTGGTTATCCAGAGAGGTTGGTGTCCCTGCACCTGCTCACATGGACATGTGCTGTGTGTTGTGTGCTGGATACTCAGTGTCTCGATGGCTATGGGTGGCAATAGAGCTCTGCCTGCTGAGAGGGAGCATGGGGTTATAAATAAAAATGGAGAAAGAGGTGTTTTGGCCACTCTGCCACCTGTCAGGTGTTTCAGTACAGGAGTTATGGGGATGTCAGTGTGCTTTGTGAGTTGCTGTATGCAATGCTGGGCACCTTGAGGGAATGTTTCTGTGAATCCTTTTGGACTTAACATCTACTGTATGTGCTGCTCTGGGTTTTTCCAGTCCAGTGTTCCTGACTGATTGTATCTTTACTTCACACTGTTATAATCCTTAGAAAGGTCACTCCGGTTGCTTCTTCTTTACAGCTGTAGAAGGGCAGAATTTGGTCCATGGATTGAAAATCAATGTTAGCAAACTAAATGGGATTTACTGGGTGATTTAAGCCCTCATTACACAGTGACTGCCCTGCAGTGGAAGTGTACCACATTCACTTTCTCCCTCTTATGATTGTGTTTCAGGAATCAGCTGTTGCACTGGCAGGCAGTAGGGAACCCGCGATGCCAGGGAACCTGGAAGAGAATGCGCCAGCTGGACACTTGCTCCTGCCCTTCTGTTCACAGCTTCTTGTTCATCTAACTTCTCCTGACAGCCCCAGCAAGCGAGCGCTGTGATGGCTTTTCTGGCACCAATGTGCAGCAGCAGTGGGAACCACATCTCAGAGGCTGTGCCACTTACTTTCAAGAGGTTGCTGTCTGCACTGGAGCATCCTGAATCCTCTCTGTCCACGTGTACGCCTCAATTTCCAACAAAATTGAGGATGGCTGTGAAGTGCCAATCTCTTTCTGCCCATCCATCCCTGAGAGAAGCCTGTCCAACCCTGATGCCTTCCTGCAAATTCCCTCTTTCTTGACAGGAATGAGAATTCACCAAATAAGAAAATGGACAAAAAAGCCATATGAACCAGGTTTAATTATTATTTTTCTAAAGCCTCAATGAAGAATCAATAATGCAAAATAAATTAACTCAAGTGCCTTCTTTTCATGGCAGTGGTACTTCTTTGTGGATGCTTCCTGCTTGTGCTTATATATCTTTTCCTTTTGTTTTCACCCTCCCTGGTCTCATCATTTCATATTGATCCTCAGTCTTCTAGAGGATTGATCTTGTGCTGCTGAAATAATGGCAAAATTTAGAAATGAGCCTGTTCAAATCTGTGAGAATGGAAGGTACCAGGGATAAATGGGCTTCAGGTTTCAAGGAGCATCTCTGAGTTGCCCCAAAGTGTGGTGCAGTCCTGGGGCTCTAAATAGAAGTCATCCCAGCTGTACCAGGAGAGCTAGTTATAGCCTTGTATTTTTGACTGGAAAATATTTGAAATATTTTCTTTATATTCTGCTGATTTATATTCATACTTTTCTATACATTAAAATAAAGGAGACTAGAGACATTTTCCCAGTGTGTATCTATTTGATTAAGCTGTGTAGTGCTGTATCTTTAGCACCTCAACATGCCTGATTTGTTCCAGCCAATTTTGCTGCTGACTCCTCTGCTGCAGCAGGGAAGACTGGAGGAGAAGTGGATGCTGACTGGTTCCAGAACTTCTCATGATTTACAGGTGGAAGTCCAGCACCATGACCTACCACTGTGCAGAAGTGGATGTGATATTTCTTTTAATATACACATACTTCTGAATCTGCTTAGACAAAATCACAGAAAGGACTTGCACTTTGTGGCAGAGCCCTGCTTCTAGGTAATTAAATTTGTCAAAACCAGGTGAGTGTCTGGGGGTGGCTCCAGAAGAGAGTTTTACTGCTTGAGTCTGTCTGTAGTCTAGATTTGGATCATGAAACCCATCTAGAGACCCATATTGAGGGTCTTTCATGGAAACATTATAGGGCACTGTGGATACGTGCCCTGTAAATGCTGTGGCATGTGTAGTATGGCAGTGAGAGGTCTGAAAGTGCCTGATGCCTCTTGGCCAGTACAGGAGGAATTTGAGAGCAAGGTTCTGCCTTTCATTGTATGCTACAAGCTGTCTCTGTAGATTAATGACTCACAGCAGGGTGATCTCATCCCAGAGTAGCAAGGTTTTAATAAAAAAAAAAAAAGTCTTGTGCTTCACTGTCTGACATAATCTGTAACTACTTTGTGGCATGCTCAGGAGTCCTCGCTGGTTTGTGAGCAGAGGGATGCGATCCTCTGAGAGATGGCTTGGGAATAAATAACTAGAGCACATTATTTTGGTTTTTGCAGTGAGGAGTTTCTATCGAGCTGGAAGCCAGTTTCATTTTCTTGGTGGAGATATGTAATCATAGTTGCATTTAGTTATTGGAAGGTTTCCTTTGTCCTGCAGAAGCCCCATATTGGGCTGCAGGACTGTAAAGAAGCAGATGGTCATTTTAGGAGCTGAATGGAGCCAGCTATGGGAAACATTTTTAATTTTCAAAATCCAACTAAACTTTTGACCACGTGAAACCCTGTTCTTGTCAGATGCTTTCAGAATTGAGTACAGAAGCTATAAAGGAGGCAATTTTTGCTTAATAATGCTTAAAAAACTTAAGTCTTCCACAAGTTGTGCTCACCCCAGTGCCCCCCTCCTACAACATCAGAGTCAGTCGGGTAGGAAGAGGCTGTATTTCAAAATTATAAATGATAGTGTCAAGTCAGAAAAGCCTTTATTGTCATCAGTGAAATGATGTGGCACCTCAATTGCAATCCCTTTCATTTACTGAGTGCTTAAGTGTTAGCTGTACTGTATTTGTGTGTAAGACTTTTATTAAATTGTCGTCATACTTGCTGTCAGATATTTAGTCCTGACGTTAATCCATTTGGCTGTGAACCTTTCAGGGTAGAAGTCTACCCTCCCGCTTCAGTGTGTTGAGAGTAAGTGAGCCTTAAGAGATGTTCTTTTGATAATACTTCATCCTGTTTTGACAGAAACTGAATCAGCTCTAGCCAGGTTCAGTATCAATGGGATGTGTAGGAAGTTTGCAGAATCAGGCCTTTGAGTGAGTGAAGGTAGCAGTGGAGAGTTTGTGAACAGGCTGCTCAGAAATAGTATTCTGGGTAAGATGACTACAGAATCTGGGCTTGATTATATATTTTGGAAGCTCACAGTAAGTTTGCTAAAAGGCATTTTAAGTTGACTGGAACTGCTTGTGAACTCACACCACATTTGTTGATTGGTCCTCATAGATGGAGACAGGAAAGAGGGGAATTTAGAAGTAGTGAATTGTTTTTATACCTCCCAAGTGAAGTGTTTTAATCTTTGATTTTGGAATTTTATTTCAAGATTTATACAATCTGAGTCAAAATATTTCATTCAACCCCCTCATTATTTTCAACTTTCTGTTTCAAGGAAAATATTGGAGGAAAAAACCCCTCATTTTTAATTGACCAAAATGGTTTATTTATCAGTAGTGTTCTCTTCTGGGTCCTGCTTGTGAGACAGCCGTGATACTAAATTAGTAAGCACAAAAGAGTCTGTTCCTACGGCCAACGACTTGTTGGTCAGGGTTTTCTTTGCTACTGCCTCATCCCTGAGAGCTGATAGCATGAGGTCCTAACAGGAGCTGCTGGGGGTGGTATGGTAGGACTTCCAGGCTTTTGCTTCTGTCACCGTAGCCTGGGGATGCAGGAGCAGGACAGAATTCGCCCCTCACCAGCAGCTCTATTTCTACACAGGCTATGTCATTGCTATGTCATTGCAAATGTCTCAGTGCATCAGCACATCCTACAAAGGTCTGTGCAGTGTGCTGGCTTCACCTCCACACCTTGGGTGACTGTACAAACAAGTCCTGTTGGCAAATTCCTGGGGGAAGGAAGGAGAGATGCAAGTGTGCTCGTGTGTGAGGGAGAGAGAGCAAGAGCAAGCCTTTTAAGTGGAAGATGGTAATGAAGCTGTTGGATCACTTTTCCTGCAAATGAAGATTAGCTCATGGTGTAGACACACACTGGGTCCCGCCTGTTTCCCTCTAGGCGCTTTATCACCGTCTGTCATCATAGTCTCAATAATTTCTACTGCCTGAGTTTTGGGAAAGATAAGACTATTGGAAATCCAAGGCAAAATACTCGTGAAAAGTGGCTTTGTACAGTAAAGAAGCAAGGCAGCCTCACATTGAGGAGAGGCTGTTCACCAAAGATGACAGCCGTTCCCATGACAACACTAAAAACCTTTCGCCATTGGGTATCAACAGGAGAGCATCTCCCACGGCAAGTACGTGAAGCCAGGAGCTTAGTCTCCTCTTCCATAAATCACCCTGTTGGGCACTGATAATGAGGAGTGGCCAGTTGCACACATGCTGCTCCACCTTCCAGGCACCAGCCTGGCTCCAGATGAAAGGAAGAGCAAATAAAACCAAAGCACCAGTGAGTTGGATTTATGTAAAAGGAAAATTAGGCTTGACTGATGTCCCTACACTTCCCTCTGCTCTCCAGCTGAGGATCTCAATTTTTAATGATGAAAAACCAAGCAAAAAAATCCAGGCCATTTTACAAACTGCTGAGGAAGCCACATGATTTTCTCTGTTGTAGAGAAACCTTTCATCGTCATGGGATGGAGAGAAAGGGAGGCCCTGGGAGAATTCTGCTTTTCTTCACCCTCACCCTGTCGTGTCCCACCTGTGATTCACCAGTTTTCTTCTGCATTTGAAACAGAAGGTGGTAAAAGACCATTTTTACCATGGGATCTTCATGAGGCCTGTCAGCTCCCTGAGTGTCATGATATGTGGGATTGCAGTCATCTGAATGTATGAGGATCTGCTTCCTTTCTTAAGGAAAAAGCCCTTGTGCATTTGGAAAAAAGAAATAAAATATGCCCAGAAAGCTCAGGAGCCAGAGGAAAAGAAAAAGAACAACAACAAAAAAGTAATTTTCTTGAATAACCTTGTTGCTCTAAGGACAAACTATTTTTTCCTTTTGCTCAGTGGCTGGAGCAGGTGAGCACGTTCTGCTTGAATGGTAGGAGTCAGCAATACTCTCAATAAATGAGACTATTCTGTTATCTTTAGCTTTTCAAACCTTGGGGTTTTTTTTTAATCCTTCATTTTGAATATTTTGAGTCTTTAAATATTAAAATCATGGACTCTCTCTTTTTTTCCCCTTCTTTTTTCTTTTCTCTTTTTTGTGAGGAAGGTTTTTTTAAGTCCTTTCCAGTTATAACATGAGTTGCTTGGTGATAGTTGTGATACTGCAAGTGGAGGAGTAGAGGTGAGAAAGGAGAGTCTGAACCAGCAGAGATTATTCTGTTCTGTAAATATGTCTCCTGCAGCTTAAAACAACAAACCCAAATATTAGCAAGATTTTTTTTTTTCTTTTTCTTTTTTAAACACTCTGGTTCTCCCATTCTCAAGTTGGGTGAAATACAGACTGTTCTATGTATTGTGCCAATCACCACCTTTTTAAATCCACAGGGATATGCAGGGTTTCCAGGCTGCTGGTCTGTGGTACCCCCAGTTGCTCTTGTCCCGTCACACATGTGACAAACTTGCTGTGACACCAGTGGACCTAGACGTGCATTCAGGACAGGATGCGCTTGGCTGCATCTTCTAAACATCTCAAATTGATACTGGAAAGGGAGAAATGTGCAGCCCTGGTGCAGTTTGTCCATGTCTGCTGATAAGTACCACAATATTACCCTTTTTCATGAGTTGGGGCATGGTGTGTGACCCCACACTACCCCAAAACCATGAGTTGCACCCCCTGGTCCATGCTGGGTGG